ATTGGTACTGTAATGTGCATTGGGTTAAGATATCCCTGCCCTGTCTCCACCCACTAGTGTGTACATGGAGCAAGAGGTTTCAATACACATCAGACTATGCCAATATATATAGCAGCATGTAGTTCAATCTGAAACACAGTGAGAGAAAAAACAGCCTCACTGTGTTTTAAGCCAGCAACGCATACATGACTTAATCCTTGGCTGGTGGGAGTGGCTGAATTGGTTCTGGCAACTTCCACCATCACCTCAGGTAGGGGGAGTGGCTCTGTGGATAAAAATAAAGAAATTGTTCTACATTTCCTGATCTTTGCTGAATGGCTGAATGAAGAGGCTGAATGGTCAGCCACTTCATTTTGCGTGTGTTATTTTTAAGTGTGCACGTACTCAGCAGCACAGCTGTGAATAAAGCTGCGTGGATTGTTTGGTTTTAAATTTTCTGCAAAAAGCACATCCACATTATATGTGCACAGCTGTCCATAACATTGGCTCTACTAAACAAAAGCAAAACAAAAAAGATCCCCTTGAATTTCCATTATTTTTACACGGGACCACTCCTCTGAAACATCATTAAATCACAGATCACGTCTATGGCTACAGATTGCACTGCAAAATTCACAGATCATACTGTAAAAATCATGGATCTTGTGCTTCTCAGCATTGCCATGGCACAGAAACATGGGTCTTAAGCATGGACCCTCATAATTTTTAGGCAGAATGCTACTGAAAACGCCATCAACTTACACATCAGATCCAAACCCACTCACGGAACAATAAAAACCATGTTTCCATCATCAGGCGAAAACATGTATCTGAACCACAGGTATCCTATGAAAAAGATAGTGTGAATTCAAGAGGATCTGTTGTTGCACAGCTGAATCCAACTCTTATCCCACAGCTTTGCTGTAATATCCAAGGTAGAGTTAATTATTGTTTCTCTCCCCAACCCATTTCTCCTTTGAAGGTAAAAATGTTTTGTCCAGGCTTCCCAGTTGACCTCCATTCTCTCTTTCATTCCCCTCCCCACTAAAACTACTAGGAGAAGGTAAAAGCATGTGGACTCTCAGAAGAAAGCCCCATTGACTTCAGTTGGGATTTCTCTTGGGTACTGAATTGCAAACGAAGAGTGTCATGGGGGACACTTATTTAACAACTATTAATTTATATTAAGGGAGAATGAGGCAAGAGGATGGTGCCAAGGAAGAAAACAGGAATTATAGAATTGTAGCGTTGGAAGGGGACCAGAAGAATCATTTAACATAGGAATCTTTTGCCCAGTGACTTTGGGATGAAGAGTCTCATGCTCTACTGAATTAGTCATCTTCTGTTTGAATCATGACAATGGGGATTTCAATGGAGAGGGTGGTGTCTTTGACTTTCTTGTTGGTTTGGGGTAGAAGACTGGAGAATGCTTTCCTGGGTGCTTCTCTGTGATGCACGACCCTTTTGGTAGGAATGAGAGTTCACTGATGGACACAAGCAGCCCTGTTCAGCAAATTGGCTGGTCTTACTCTTGAGAGTCCCATGGATCAAACCTATCCTTTCTTAAGGAAATCAGCCCTGAGTGCTCACTGGAAGGACAGATCTTGAAGCTGAGGCTCCAATACTTTGGCCACCTCATGAGAAGAGAAGACTTCCTGGAAAAGACCCTGATGTTGGGAAAGATGGAGGGCACAAGGAGAAGGGGGCGACAGAGGGTGAGATGGTTGGACAGTGTTCTCGAAGCTACCAGCATGAGTTTGACCAAACTGCGGGAGGCAGTGGAAGACAGAAGTGCCTGGCATACTCTGGTCCATGGGGTCACAAAGAGTTGGGCATGACTAAATGACTAAACAACAACAAACACACAGTCCAGTCTCCATGGGGAGCACACATTGTGCTTTGGTTCTTTCCCCATATAGGAAGATGAAAGAGAGGCTCAGGACAGCATAACAACCCACAAAATGCTGTGCACACATTCACCTGGGAGGAAGAGGAAGAGGAAGAGAGAAGGGTTTGTCTCTTGAACAGCCCATTTGATCTAAAACCACCAGCCACTCCTCATACACTCTAAACACAGGTGTGCAACACAGAATCTCAAAATAAATACAGCAGGTGTTTATTTATTGTCCTGTGAACACAGAAGGGCCCTGCTGGATCTGGCCAAAGCTCCAACTAGCCCAGCACCCTGTCTTCACAACAGCCAACCAGATTCCTATGGGAAGCCCGCTTGCAAAACTTGATAACAGCACAGTGATGCCTTGGAAATTAAAGGTGCTTCAGTGTGGATGTACGGGAGATAATCCTTCACTTTTCCTCTCTGCATCTTCCTCTTGATAGAGAGATGCTGCTCTCTCTCTCCCCCCCCTCGCCTCCCCTGCTTCTTTCTGAAGCCTCAATTTGGTTTCTGGAGTAGCTGTCAAGAGCTGCTGTTCTCTTCATCATTTCAAGCAAATTAAACAAAAAACAAGATTACACTGGTGGTGTTTCTGAAGATGAATGTCATTGTACAAATGCCATCTCGACAGATGTCTAAGGGGGATTGATGGCATGCACAGGGTGCTTACTATCGCTTCTATGCAACAAATCAAGTTATTGTCCCACAGGAAAGAATCTGTTCTCCCACAGGAAAGGTGTCATCATGAGAACAAGGAAACTGAGTGGACTTCCTGTGGCTGGAGGAAGTGCTATTAAATAAATGGCACACAACTAACAAATATGTTAGCTTTTACCATTAGACTTCAAAAAATAAACTTCCTGTAAATAGTCTTCCTCCTCCTTTTCTTTTGGAAATAAGGGATATCACTCAAATTTATACAACCTTACCCCTAGAAGTTTGGACATCTTCCCACAAATCAACTTTGCCTCTCGCTCAGGAAAAATGATTACAGCAGCCAGGTGAGGGGGTCATTTTTAGGGGAGAATTAGGGTTAAACACCCCCTACTAGTCTAGGTCTCTGAAACATCCCTCCTGCAGTTGAGAAGAAAAAACATGGGGTTGGAAATCCCACATTGCACTTGTAAAGTTTAATTCCACCCTAGGACAATATGCAGTTCTGGTGAAATGCTCCTTCTAGTAATGTTTTGGTGAGGTATGTGGAGTTTAAAGAGGCAGTTTTTCATCAAGACAGACTTAGTTGGATCAGCAGTTATATTTACATAGGAAAAAAATAACTAGGAGTAATATATCTTCCCACTCTGTTGCAAACTTTTGATTTCCTAACGCAGCCAAGAAGCCACGATGCCGATCCTTTGCTGCTGTACCAGCACTGATTTTCCACACTGAAACTCTTCTGAGTAAGTAAAACGTTTTCTCCTTCATCTGTGTCATGTCTTAAGACTCCCTTTTGCTCCAGAATACTACTAACTACAAGTGTGTGCGTGTTAATGAGTTTACCATTATTTATCACAGAATCATTTATTACTACTTCTTTTAAAAACCTATTTCCACTGATTATTTTTTTTTAAAGCGAGCAGAGTTAATGCCACATGAGTTCTGCTTAACTATCTCTCCTGCACACTTTAAATATCGTGTTCCTCCTACTATTGGCTCCAAATACCTCAGTCTGTGTTATATTGTTGGGGTAACCTTTCCTATATGAACCAGTGCTGGGGGGTGGCAGAAGGTCGGGGGGGGGTCATCCCACCCCATCGGAATTGGAGGGGAATTGTGATAAGCGAGCTTAGGACAGAAATGTGGAATGACGGGGGGGGGGGGGATAACAACTCAACAAAGAATGCCATACCACTACAACGGATCGTCTCCTCCCTATTAACCCACAAAGAAGCCTTTGACGATTGCACTTCATTAGTAGCCATTTCTTTTAAAGCAAATTGTGCTTCAGAAGCAACATAGCTTGTTTGCGCTCCGATACCCCAGGGCGCGTAAGCTCTTGTTCCCGTTTTACAGATGGGAAAAGTGAGGCTCAAAGTGACTTGCCGGTGGCCGCGCGGGATGTCATTGAAAGACCCCCATTCCCCATCCCCGGCGCAGACACACCAGGCGGTCCTCCTCTCCAGCTGCCCCCCCCCGGCTCACCGCTAGTCCCTGCTGCCCCGACGGGGAGGTCGCCACTCACCGTCTCCGAGAAGCAGTTCCTCGCAAGAGTACCAGATGCCGGCGTGAAACTTCCGGTCGACGAACTTGTCGTCCCCGGTCTCCCAGATGTACTGGACCACGTTGCTGTCGTTGGGGCCCCCGGAGGTGTTGAAGCGGATGCAGTGGGTGCCCCCTCGGAGCTCGCTGCACATGGGCTTGGCCACTTTGCGGGTCCCTTCGCACCAGTAGCTGCTGCTGAAGGCGGTGATGGAGAAGGTGAGCGACAGGCAGCTGAGCGAGAGCGCCGCCGAGGCTCGCTGCCGCCGGTCCACCCCCATCGCGCTGAGGACTGCCGCCTTGCCGAGGCTGCATCCAACGACGCCGAGCGAGGACGGGACGGGGCGCACGGGGAGAGGCACCCTCGGGCTGCTGCCGCGCGCCTCTTGGCTAAGCCCCTGCTGGTGGAAAAAAACCCCCGCTCTCAAATCGCCGGTTCCCCCCGCAGCATCCAGCCAGGCACCAGGCTGCCGCTGGCCGTTTCTGAAGGTGAGGCGAGCAGGTGGGCAGAGCTGCCAAGACGCCTCCTTCCCGCCCCCTCCCTCAGCGCAGGATGGGAGCCGGGGATGAACAGGGCTGAGCCTCAAAAACCTGCCGCCTCTGCCTGAGCTCAGCACGAGGAGACTCTCCAAGAATCCCTCTGAGCATACAGACTGCATTTCTTTCCCTCCGGAGCAATGGGAACTCAGCCCCCCTTCCGCCCGCCCCCCCCCCAAAAAAGCACGGGGGTGGGTGGGATAAGGAGACAGAGCGCCAGGTGAAAAGCTGCAAAAAGGCGTCAGCCCCAGGAGTGATCACTTTTATCAAGTCACGCGCCACAGCGCTGGAAAGCTGAGACCCAAAACCACACAGAGGCAGGGATCAGGCTTGAAGAAGGAAATGCGGGCAAGGGGAGCGAAAAATGAACACACACACACACACACACACACACACACACTCCTCTCTTGATACTTAGGAATTAGATTAAGTGCAAAGTAAACACAGGAGGACTTGCTTTCCTGACTATCTTGGGAAAGGTGCCAATGCTTTGTTTGTTTGGAAAGTCAAGTTTCGCACCATCTGCATAAGTCCTGGTAGTGCTGCACACCTTGGAGCCCAGGGAAAGGGCATGGGAAAGAGCCAGTGTGATGTAGGAGTTAGGGTGTGAGACATCCAGTGCACATTTAAAGCATGCGGTTTCACTCAAAGAATCCAGGGAGCTGTAGTTTGTTAAGGTTACTAGGAAGTGTAGCTCTGTGAGGGGGAAACTACAGTTCCCAGGTGAGGGGCAGCCATGTAATTTCAGTGTGCACTGGATGTCCTTTTTAAATGTATGGTGTGGATCTGCCCTCAGTTAAGCCTTGCTGCACAATTTCTGAGAAGCGAGCCCCATTGAATTTCATGGACTGTACCTCTTGAGTAAATACACATAAAATTGCGCAGTCAGAGCACTTGGATTTTAGAACTACAGGAGGAGATGGCGCTTCCATTTGATTAAACCCTCAAACATCAGTTTAAGATTGTGGGCCAAGTTAATTATTGCAGGCTTTCCAATAACATTTCTATTCCCCTTTTATAAAGCCGGAGCTGAGAGACACTGATTTGTTCAAGGTCACCGCAAGTAATGGATGATCAGGGATTCTTCATAACAGATTCATTTCCTTGGGATTTTTGTTTAATCCCCTTTTCCTTCTGCACTTATCCATTTAGTGTAAGTATTACATCACAGCTTGAACAAACCAAACACTGTTTTTCTCCCTGATCCAGTAGTAATGTACAGTGCCCATGTTTTCGCCGTGGCATTATATTTTTAAACATGATGTTTTCTAGTTATATACGGCCTAAACTTGGAGGTGGTGTGGGAGTGAGTACAGGCACTGGAGAAAACAAAAACCTGCTGTAATTTGCAAGTGAGGCAAACATTAGGAAGACTCCAAAAGAAAAGGGGGAAAGGAGCTCAGATTAAATGCCAAGCCAATAAACTTTTCTTTGCTTTTCTTTTTTGCTGTTTTAGCTAATTTAGGCACTGTGGTGTGTTGAACTTTGGTTTAGCCTCCACATACTTCCTTTAGTAACTTAGTTGATTTGGGGGCAGTGACTAGATCTCCCTGAATTGACCTCTTTGGCCACAAAGTGTCTGTGTACTTTTTGTGTCAAATGGAAGGGATGGGGCAGTAAAATCTGACTCCCTCCCAATCTGACCTTTCTACTCTGGGATGCGTGTCGCCATTTCCCCCCAAGCAAGGCCAGTTCTCCACATTAGGCAAAATGAGGCAACTGCCTCAGGCATCAAATGCGGGTGATGGTGGTGCTGCCATTAAGGTGTTGGAGAACAGGGTTGTGTATGCTAAACAGCCTATCCTTTCCTCCACTAACTTAATCAGCTGTCCTCCTGGCAAAGGAGAATGTCCCATTCCCAGTGCTCAAGTAAGATTCAACGCTCATGCCAATCAATTTCTGTGTGTGGAACTGAGGGAGGGGCATGTTTGTCCTTTGCCTCAAGCAGCAAAATATCTTGGGCCTGCCCCTAGATCACTTCACTTTCATTATCGGAGTGGGGCTAAGGGGAAATGGCTGTTCGGTGATTTTGCTCCCCTCTCCATGTGCTCCATTTGACATTAAAGGTCAGCCCTCCGACCTCTCCATCTTATGGTTTGTATGGCCCATTTAGCCCTTTAAAAGGTTATATTCAGTTTCTTGGCAGAGCTTTTAACACAGGTCTGCAGCAGCGGGTGCAATTAATTCAGTGTGCACAATTAATTCAGCGTGCCTCCGTTTAATGCATTGCAAACAAAGCCACAAAAGTAACCCAGGCACATATTTGTTAACCATGAGTGGCTAATTACTCCAATTAGGACAAAACCCCCAAAGCTTTGCCCCTCCCCCCACTTGGTCACCTGGAATTTATTTTTACTCACCACTGGTGAACAGGAAGTGGCTATATAGAAGCCTGAATTATGTTCACGTGACAATTCTACTCAGGTCTGGGATCACTTGATTTTCTCACAATGCTGAAGCTGGGCAGTCTCAGAGACAAATTGAAATCCTCTATAAAGGTGAGAATATACTTTAAAAAAAAATTAATGACAAAATGTCTGGAGGGGGTAATTCCATGACTATTGTAGCAAAAGCAACAGGTTTGTGGAACTTTAAAGCCGTAACAGATTCTATTCATTTTTAAGATGCCGCAAGATTGTTTTGTGGTTTTCAGATGAAGAGGTCACTGCAGTATGGGTGATCTTCAGTTGACAAACAAAGATAAATCAAGGAAGATAGTGAGCCATTGCCTTGGTTAGAAAAAGAGATTGTATCACACTTCTGTTTCTGTATGACTACATGGTACTTAAAAGAAGTATGTGAGATCTTGCATACCCTTGATGTTCTTAGGCAGGGGCCAGTGGCCTCCCAGCTGGTGTTGGGCTCTAACATCCATTATTCCTAGCTGGCATGGCCAGTGGTTAGGATGTGGTCCAACAACATCTGGAGGGTCACAGGTTCCCATCCCTGATCTTAGCCATCTGTGCAGAGAGCATTTAGCATAGTGGAAGTGCTATTAAGGTCTGGAACATCTCACCCAAGCTATTGTGTTGGGGGGGGGGGGAATTGTGTGCCCTTCTCTGTGTGTCCTTGAGAAGTTGGACTGGCTTCCTCCTTGCTGTCCTTCTATTCCAGCAGGCCTTTGGGAACCAAATGTTTCTGAGGAAAGAGCTGGTGCTGTGATGTTTTTATTGTGGATCTTTTAATATTACTTTAATTCTGTTGGGGTTCAATGACATTTTGATTGTCTTTTCTACAGTCTTAGCTTGTTTAATTTGTGTCAGCCACATTGAATCCCAAATTGGGGGGGAAAGGAGGGATATAAATAAATACTAGAATAATAACAATCTCACTGTAGATCTATTGCCAATGCCGATCACACGAATACCCCTGCCTCCCAGTGGGTTATGCAGATTACACAGCAACCGGCTGTGTTTGGCTGCTGCCATCCCTTTCCCCAAACCAAGGAAAACATGTCTCAGACCTGTGGAACATATGAATTCAACGTTCAATATAGAGGCTTGCGGCAGTGTACAGCATGAGATAAATGACACTCCTGTTCTCTGTACTGATTTACCAAACACATATTCCGGAACATTTGAGAAATGAGGCACAGCCATATCTGATAGAATTCCCCTGCACACAATTTTTCAGCCTCCTTTAATGTGCCTTTAAAAATCCTCCTTCCTAACACTAACAACTCTTTCTAATTGCAGTTCGTTTTATGCCTGTGCTTCTCTGTGTCTTCCCTGAGATTCCTTATCGTTACAAAACTCCTGGTGGTGCCACATTAGTCTCTTTCTACCCCCCCCCTTCCCTTCCTTTCACTGCATAAAAGCATGCTCACTTTTGCATCTTTAACATAGACTCATTAAGACAATGCTTTCCGTGGGTGCCTTTTCATTTAGTTTTCCTAACCATCAGCCAGGCTGGCAACCCTACAAGACATAAAGTACCTCTGCCCTGGTTACACCTTGTAGAACGTGTCCACCAACCAAGTGGCAAGTGACAAGATGGATCTCCTTATGCTGATTTCCAGTTACTCCCAAATTAAGTCAGGAAAAGATGTGAGCATAAGCACCCATGTTACTTTTCCTGCCTCAGGCCAAGATGTCTTTCCAGGAAGACATTTTAAGATAGAGAAAAGGAAGTGGGTAGCTGGGTTTTAGGTGCTCTTCCTGGTCACCCTCAGGGGCATAACTAGGGGCGTGCAAAAATCATGCCTCTCCCCTCTGACTCATTAGGTTGAGAACTGCAGGTTGCCTACAGATGCCTAGATTGTCTTCCTTCACTGTCCTTATTTAAGTAATGAGATGAAAGTGGGAGCTTCCAGTTCTAAACCACAGGACCATCCATGGCCTGGCCTGACCTACCCCACATGGCTTTTTGTGCAGATACAGAAGGACATATAAATCAGCTGGGATAGGGAAATGTAGTGCTTCCCACAAATTTGTTAGTTTTTATTAAAATATTATTCTTTTGTTGTATTTTACTTTGGGTGTTCCTTTTCGGAGAAGGGGGACCTTATTTGGGGGAACTGCTCCATGCCCCGCCCCCCGACCACCTTAATCTGGCCTTTTGAAATTCAAACGCCACTCATTTAAAGACTTTGTTCATGTCCGCTTTCCTTATTACATTGTTCCCACGCCTTCCCTTTCTTTTGAAAACTCGCGTAATGAATGTTTTCTCCCCATTTGCCAATCAGCCTCCATTTTCAACCAATTCCACCCTATTAGTCAAGATCAGTGCAAAAATAGCTGCTACCTAATTATTTCCCCCACCTTTTGGAGTCAGGAGTTAAGGCTGTGACACATATCAAGAGCTTACAGAACATACTGTGCTTCATTAGACTTCCCACAGATATAGGGGGAATAATTCGTAGGGCAGAGTTCTCTACTGAACTTTCTACACTTTGTTGCACTCGCCAAAACCCAAATCTCATCAGACTACATTATACAAATTACCCAACGTTTGCACAGATACACTTGATTTGCAAAATTTAAGAGTACTTAAATGTTATTTTTGGAAACTAGCAATGTTTATTCAGCAGGGTTCTATACACCTGCCTGGCAGGGCTTCTTAACGAAGGCCTGCAGCTGGGCTTTCTGCTAATAGTCCAAGGAAAGTGGTGTGTGCAGCAGTTCGATGGTGGTGAGCAATTCAGTGGCTGGCTACCATTAAGGCTGGAGTGAGGAAGACAGGACCTCTGACTCTGATCATACCTGGGATCATGGTGGTCTGTGGAATAATTTGATAGAAAACAGTCGATATGCAATGGATGATGGACTCGTGCTGAAGGCCAGACTCTACTTCAGCAGCTTTAGGATGGGGAAACTTTGTGCAGAGAAGCAATGAGATGGGTTCTTTTGGACAATATTGTAAATCTTCCAAAAAAACACACACACAAAAAAAACCCCCACCAGCCCCCGCTGCAAGTTCCATGTTCCGGTTTGCAGCAAAGTTTGCTGGTCTGGAACACAGCATGAGCGACAGCACCTTGAATGAGCATGATTTGGAGCTGAAAATTGGCCTGTGGGTATAACCTCCCCCCCCCAAAAAAAAACCTTCTATGCTCTAAATCACTCCCTCCTGAAGCTGTTTTTCAATAAGCAAAGTGGCCATCAAGCTTCAAACACACACGTGTTGTATGCCTAGTTTGACTCTTGGGTTATCTCCTTCGACAGTCTGTAGCAGATCATGGGTGCTTGTCTTTGAGAACTGGTAATTATACTGTCCTTTAGACTCATCTCTATTGATGAACCCATGTCAGATTTCTTAAATGTGCTGGAAGACCACAGTGGCAAATGCAGATTTCACTCGGACACCAACAGCTCTGCATCTGTGAGCAATCCGTGTATGGGTTGGGTGCCCACCGCATTGTGTGGGTTTGTTTTGCTCTGAAGCGCAGCCAATAAATGGTAAATTGAACTGCAGACCCATGCTAATGCAAAAAAGAGCTCGGGGTGGGAAACCATTGGACACACTGGCTTAGGGCTGATGGGAGTTGGAGTCTAACAACCCCGGGAGGGTCAAAGGTCTCCTAGTCCTGCTCAAAGTCTTTCGGATTTGCAAGACTTACACACAAGTGTAGAACCAACAATCCAAATCACAGCATTGTGATCAAAGAGTATTTTCTGCAAGGTTATCCATCATGAACTCAGATCCTTTTCTTTGTCACTACTTTCCAGGATATATATTGTAAATATATTTTTAAAATAACTATAATAAGCTTCTTGGTTTCCAGTTAGTATACATTGATGGCCATAAATCCTTGCCTGCTGCATTCAGGTCCTTCAACCAGGATGTTTAATCACCTTCAGCATTCTTGGGACAAGCCAATTGTAAACAATCAGATGTAGGAAAAACGTCCCTGTAGACTGAGCTGGTCTCATGCAAGAAAGTTAACAAGTCCACAGGATTGATTCCTATATATTCTTCTCATTCAGCCCCAAGCGGGTTGGAGAAAGTGGGAGGGCTTAATTTCCTCTTGCTGACATATTTCAAGTCTCCGTCCAGTCACCTCGGGGCGGCAGTGGGGGGGGGGGAGAGCTAAAGAATATCACTCAGCTGCCTGCATATTGGCAGCTGTTCAGGAAATGGCCTGTCAGATTGCTGCAGAAATAGGCTTTCCATGCTCATATTTGCTCCAGGACCACCTTTTCATCAACCGTCTTCCAGATAAAGTTTCCCAGTGACACAAGTCCTTTCCAAATCAGTGGGCACTTAGGAGTGTCATGAGAACAGAACTCCAATCCTGAGTCCTTCGTGATGCTTTTCTTATTCCTCATTGGCTGGGAGGATCGGCAACAAAAAGCAGATGTGCTTGTAAAGTTTATACTAAATTCTCACTGCCCCCCTTTTTTTTCTTTCAACACAGAAGAAGCAAAAGGAAACCCGATTCTAAGAACTCTGCAGGTTGGAGCAGATTGATTATCTGTTGCTTTTTGCTGACATTCAGGAACTTATTCTAATGGGTAAAGAGTCACTCTTTGAAAGTGGAGATATTTTCAAAGAACACAGCGGGTGTGACCGAGATTGCTAAAGGAGATCACAAGCTAACTGGGTTGCAAGAGTCAGTGATTTGCTTGAGTATACAAATTTGCCACCCTGGATCACACTGGAACACCCAGTATTCTTCTGCACCATGAAGCTGTACTCTGGGACATGTCCCACACCCGTCTTTGCAATCACAATGCTGTTTCTGATCAAACAGGTAAGAAAATTTGTCATTTTAGCAATGATACATTTTAAAACATGAATGTTCCATTGGGCTGACATCTCTGCATACACAAAACAGTGCGGCATGTTCACGAGCGGAGCTTATTTCACGGTATGTTGTGCAGCATGTAACTTGTTTTTATAAGGCTTCGCATGGCAAGTTCTTTACCTCTTCCCTGCCGGCTATTGCTTTTCCTGTACAATTGCAATTGGAGACACTATATGTGTGATTTCAGATTTTCTACACCAAGCTTCATTTATTTCAGCACAGGTTTATTTTTTAAATGTTGTCCATTTCCAACTTGTTCATTTCACTTTTGCTATCCTCCCTGCCCCCCTTCTACCACCTATACGACTTGGACTTCACAGAGGAGACACGAGAAACAGTGTCTATAAACATATCTTTTTGTGTCCACCACTAAAACCTTCCTAGGTGCTCTAAAAACCTATTAAAAGTCTGCTGTATTCCATAGCTTCAACAAATGCATAGCATCAGCATATGCGTGCGGAACATTTAACTGTTGGCTTATTTTACCATTAATCAGACCTCTGTTCTCCCTCTGGATGCGCATTTTCCCATTCATGTTGCTGCTTAAGTGTCATGCCTTAAACCACCTTCTGGATAACAGTCTCATTCAGATAACTTTGTGCCTCCAGTCTGCAAATTTTGAAAAGCCATATTTTCATGGAGAACCAAGTGAATTTGTCACCCGTTGACTCAAAAGGCTAGATTTCAGTCAGCTCTGTTGCCTTTTGAAAGACTTTCAGCATGGATGATGTCATTACAAAGCATCTCTTGGTTTATGCAAGATGCTTTAAGGTACACACACACACACACACAGAGAGAGAGAGAGAGAGAGAGAGAGTTATTCAACCTAGGAAGGAAAATTATTATTGTCGATTAGTGTTCCTAGGTAGGGAGGCACCATCATATTTATATCATTTGTTCTGTTGAGCTACCAGCTGATTAGAAGCAAGGCAGACAACAGGCTTAACATAGAGGCCAGTTCTGTGAGTCATTGTCCTGGCAAATGTGGTATTTGTGAACTGAGACAGGGTGTAATGGCTGTCATGCCAATCCAAGCTTACCTGTAGATGCTCCCTGGTGTCACAAGTTAACCCAAGGTGTTTGTTCTGATGCAGCAGCATGAGCAATGCTACACAGGCAAAACAAGAGCCACTATAACCTGACTTCCTCATATTGACTGGAACATCCACACAGTGGTCTATATACAAACTCCCCATCCAGGGCTGGCTTCACCATGAGGCAGAGTGAGGCAGCCTTAGGTGGCAGATGATAGTGGCAGGAAAGTGGATAGAGTTTGTCATCACATGAAGCCTCCATGGTAAGAGCCCTATAAGCTAGTCTGCTGCCCACAGGTGCAGTGGGGGATGCTCTCCCATTGTTGCCCTTGTCAAAGTAAGATTCAGCTGCCAGTCTGCTCAGCTTTTGTAACTAGAATGGTGGGGAGTGTCATGTTGTCCTTTGCCTCAGGCAGTAAAATGTCATGTGCAGTCCCCTGACCCCAATATGGACGTATGTCCTCCACAATGCGAAAATGGAGGGTATGCACAGTATGCTTAGAAACTGAACATGTTTGAACACACAAATTAAGAGCTGTGGGTGAAGACTGGGCATGGCCAGCAAGCACAATCCTTGATCCCCCATTCTCTAGGTGCATATATTGCCCCTACCATGACCACCTGCACAGGGCTAATGAGTCTTCTCAAGTTTTAGGGGGCAGCTACCAATGCCAACTAAAACATAGATCAGTGTTTCCCAACCACTGTTCCGCGGCACACTAGTGTGCCGCGAGATGTTGCCTGGTGTGCCGCGGGAAAAATTAAAAAATTGAAAGATTTTTTTTTTTAAGTCAAATTTTCGATTGGGGCGCCGTCACTAGATGACCCCTGGGGTTCCCTCCCTCCCTCCCGCTCTGCACCTCCCTCCTCCTCCTCCTCCTCCGGGGAGGCCCTTCCTGGCTCTCGGCCAAGGCTTGGCGGCTGCCACTCACTCACTCGCTCGCCCACCCGTCCCTCCATCCCTGCACCCGGCCTCTCCCCCTCCGTCCCCGGCACGGGGGCTGCCAGGATCCGTAGTCCCTCGCCCTTGGGCTCCGCGCCCGCGCGGGGTGCGCGAACTACGTTTCCCAGCGTGGCCTGGCGGGCCGGGCGTTTTGTTTGAAGCGCTCTTCTCCCGGCCATGGAATGAGCGCAGCAGCGGCGGCCGGGCGGGCAGGGGCTCTTCCGCGCAGACCCCGCGCAGCCTGCCTGCGCCCCCCGGAGATCGGGCGGCAGGATGGAGCCCGGGGATCCCCGCGGAGGCGGAGCGGCGGAGGCGGAGGCTGCCCCCCAGGTAGGGCTGCGTCGGGGGTTTTTTATTTTTGCAATGCTGCATCTGCGCCGGAGGGGACGCATCGGACCGCGGGGAGACCCCTTGGCGGGCGTGCAAGGCAATGCATGCGTGCAGGCGTTGCATGGAGTGCAGTGCAATGCAATGGCAACGCGGCGCCCTGCATGCATGCATGCAACTTCCACCGGCGCTCTGGACTTGGCAGGTGAGGGGGATCCCCAGTGGGCGGCAGAGAGAGCCGGGAGGGCGAAGGGGAGCTGGGGGGGAGCAGCGCTGCTCCCCGAGCCGAGCCCGGGGAAAAACTTCGGCGTCGTTGCGCCGGGTGTTGGAAGCAGAGGCTGGCGGGGGCCCCTCACCTGCAAAACCTGGTCGCCTCTCATATATTTCGTGCATTGCATTCATCGCCCGCTTTCTCCTCCAAGGAGCTCCCGGGGGCGCGCGTGGTTCTCCCCGTGTTATCCTCGCAACAACAGCCCTGCGAGGTGGGTCAGGCGAGTGGCCCAAGGGAGCACCCAGGGATTGTCCTGGCCAGGTGGGGTGATTTGAACCCTGCTCTCTGCCCGGTCTTCGTCCTCATTTAGCCCCCACATGTGCATGACTGTGCATGACTGAGGTTTTCCCCCCTCATCTTGGCTATGGTGTGAGTCTGTGCTGTTAATTAATGGGGTTCTGCCTTCGGAGAAGATGAGCCAGCCCTCAAGGAGGTGATTATGTAATTTGCTAGCAATTCATGTCCCTCCCGGCGTGACGCTGCGCGCTGACGTCACAGGGCTGTAATGGTGGTGTGCCTCGAGAATTTTTTCATGAAACAAGTGTGCCTTTGCCCAAAAAAGGTTGGGAAACACTGACATAGATGACACAGAAGCAAGTGATCAGTAGTTGTCAGAAGAGTTAATTCCTCCTCCTCCTCCTCCTCCTCCTCCTCCTCCTCCTCCAAAAGCAATTTATCCCCAAATAATAACACCTTCATATCAGTTGTAAATTTGTGTTTTGTGCTCACAAGAGAACCCCTTGGCTAAAGTGGATAGATCTGGACTCAGAAAGTACTGAATGACCCAAGCCAGACTCACCGCAATAGATGTACTCATGTTATATGGGGAAGGGAGAACAACAATATGGGGAGAGAAATGCCAGCCAGGACCCACAGACGTTGGTTTCTGCTGTTTCAGCATTGCCCCATCACTTCATGACACTTTTCCTCATCCTTTTTTTTCTTTTTAAAGACGTGTAGCTGGAGGCTACTCTCTCTCTCTCTCTCTCTCTCTCTCTCTCTCTCTCTGTGTGTGTGTGTGTGTGTGTGTGCGTGTGTGTGTGTGTGTGTGATGCTCTGAGCAGCTAAGACCCCTGCAGCCTAGTTCTTCTGCCATACAGGAAGAAGAACCTGACCACATCTCTTGCAAGGGTACAGAAGAGCGCACTGCTTCTCAGGGTCAGGCTAGGGTTGCTCTAGTGCTAAGAATAGCATGAGCAGCAGTGCTATTTACTTTTGTCACCCAGAAAGGCCCCTTGAATATTCTGAAGTCACTATTCTGGATTGGGATTCAATCACACAGTGTTAAATTGAGGTCATGCAGATTGTGCAGCAAACCTGCTTCGCAGGGGGAAACTCAGACTTTTTGCAGCAAGGAAGGTGACAAGAAAATGCAACGGAAAGTGTGGAGTGACACTTGCTTTGGTGCAACGTCATCTGGCGTCCCAGCAACCAAATAGGGACGCATGTTCAGTAAACAGTTCATCTGGAAGCGCCCTAAGTACTTGGTCTTCTCTGCCTTTGACCTCAAGAAATCTTTACTGTGAATCACATTGAGACGGTTGTTTAGAAGGTGATTCATAAATCAGTGGTGGTGGTGATAGTCATAATCACAATAATTAATATAAGAGAAATTGCTTCCTTGCCAGCAGGCTCCTTCTGCACCCCCAGGCTATAGCACTAGACATTTAACTGAAGCTTCAGAGCTGGGCCATAGTCAGGACTGAAAATATTGCTGTATGGAGGATGGCTGGTGGAGAAACTAGCCTCTGTAGGCAGCAGAGCCAGAGGAACAAGAAGACGAAAGAGAAAAGGCTGCATCTTATTGCGTAGAAATCTTTTAAAATGAGGTGAATGGGTTCCCCCTCCTGCAAGATTTTTGTTTTCCTTTCTTATGGTGTGTTTTTTGTTAATACAGAAACCCTCTTGAAGCTGGCGTGGGGTTGCCAGATTGTGATGTGGAAAGCCCTCCTTTATTTTGGATTTGCTTCAGAATTGGAAGGCTAGGGCAGTAACTATTTCCCCTTCATCCCTGCTCTCGAGCCCCCTATCTTTCTGCTGGGTGGTACATATGGATGGAGCAGAAATTTGATGCCATTCACATTTGCACTACCTGATTTGCACTTTTTGGGGGGGCGAATCGCTCTTCTCTGAATTTTGCAATGCATTTCCCCAACCAAGTGATGTGTACAAAACAGATGTACTAGGTTATAAAAATGCACAAAAATGCAAAGATAACAAACAAAAATGTGCTGTGTTCAGAAAAAAATGCTTCACAAAAATGTGTATATTGGGAGAAAGTGGCACTAAAATGCTGGTGAATTTTCAAAAGGGCTTTATTTTAAAAAATAAAATAAAAAAGAAAATCAGAAACTGATGTGGAAATGTGCAG